AAATTGCGCAGCATCGTCAGAGAAGTCAATCTCTGTACGACTCCAGCGCAATGTATTCAATTTCTGAATGATATGGATAACGAAAAAGCGTTTGTTATCTCGTCTGGAGCTTTAGGACAGCACCTCGTACCGCAGATTCATGATTTGTCACAAGTGGACGCAATTTATATCTTTTGTGGTAATAAAACAAAACATGAAGCATGGGCAAAAGAATGGGCAAAGATTGAAGGTGTTTTCACCTCAATCAAGCCCATATGTGAATCGTTAACGAAGGTCACCCGTGAATGTGACCATGATACCATTCCCATGAGCTTCGTTCCGAAGCAAACGACGGCAGCTACATCAAGTCAAGAAAATCTGGACCAATTAGAACCATCTTTCATGTACTCGGTGTTATTCAAAGAGATTATATTGGAAATCAATGAAGACGACGCGAAGCCGTTGAACGATCTAGTCGTCTACTGTCGTAGCAAAGGTATTTCGGAGAAACAATTAAAGGACTTTCAGAGTACATACCACCAGAAAACGCCAGTCTGGTGGTATACATGCGAAATGTTTCTATATGGCATGCTGAATTACGCTCTACGATCACTCGACATGGAAGCCATGACAAAAATGGGCTTTTTCATCCGAAACCTTCATCATCAGCTGGAACAACTGCATAAAGAACAAGCAAAGACTTTTACGAAAAAATTCATTGTTTATCGTGGTCAAGGGCTTATTGAACAAGATTTTCAGCATCTAATGGACACGAAAGGTGGGCTGCTCTCATTCAACAATTTTTTGTCAACTAGTACAAAACAAAAGATCGCTATGGAATTCGTGAAACGTGCCATGCAGAAAAATAAAGACATCGTCGGTGTTCTTTTCATCATGACAATTGATCCAAATACAATATCGGCGGCAACTACTCCATTTGCACTTATCGACGAATACAGTGCTATTCAAACTGAAAAGGAAATCCTCTTTTCAATGCATACTGTTTTTCGTGTCGATGATATCAAACAATTAGTTAGCAATAGTCGTCTGTGGGAAGTTCAATTGACTCTCACCGGCGACAATGATCCACAATTAGCTGCTCTTACTAAAATCATACAAAAGGGTCTCTGTGGATCCACCGGATGGCATCGAATGGGAGCTTTGATGATCGAAGTGGGCCACTATAATCAAGCTGAAGAACTCTATAATGGATTACTCAAAAACGCTTCCAGTGACGGTGATAAAGCACATATTTATCACCAGCTTGGATTTTTAAAAAACGCTAAAGGACAATACCAAGAAGCAGTTGCGTTTTATGAAAAATCAGTGAAGATCGAGAGCAAAACTCTTTCGGAAGACCATTCTTCATTGGTTCCTACCTATACTAACATCGGTGCAGTGTATAAGAACATGGGTGACTACTCGAAAGCACTTGAATTTTACGAAAAATCACATAAAATCCTCGAAAAAGCTCTGCCTCCGAATCATCCCGATTTGGCTGGTTCCTACAGCAACATCGGTCAAGTGTATAACAACATGGGTGACTACTCGAAAGCACTTGAATTTTACGAAAAAGCACATAAAATCTACGAAAAAGCTCTGCCTTCGAATCATCCCTCATTGGCTACTTCCTACAGCAACATCGGTGGAGTGTATGACGACATGGGTGACTACTCGAAAGCACTTGAATTTTATGAAAAAGCACTTAAAATTAAAGAAAAAGCTCTGCCTCCGAATCATCCCAATTTGGCTACTTCCTACAATAACATCGGTCTTACGTATGACAACATGGGTGACTACTCGAAAGCACTTGAATTTTACGAAAAATCACATAAAATCTACGAAAAAGCTCTGCCTCCGAATCATCCAGATTTGGCTACTTCCTACAACAACATCGGTGGAGTGTATAAGAACATGGGTGACTACTCGAAAGCACTTGAATTTTACGAAAAATCACATAAAATCTACGAAAAAGCTCTGCCTCCGAATCATCCCGAGTTGGCTACTTCCTACAACAACATCGGTCAAGTGTATAACAACATGGGTGACTACTCGAAAGCACTTGAATTTCACGAAAAAGCGCATAAAATCTACGAAAAAGCTCTGCCTCCGAATCATCCCGATTTGGCTACTTCCTACAACAACATCGGTCTCGTGTATAACAACATGGATGACTACTCGAAAGCACTTGAATTTTATGAAAAAGCACTTAAAATTAAAGAAAAAGCTCTGCCTTCGAATCATCCCTCATTGGCTACTTCCTACAGCAACATCGGTCTAGTGTATGACAACATGGGTGACTACTCGAAAGCACTTGAATTTTACGAAAAAGCACATCAAATCTACGAAAAAGCTCTGCCTCCGAATCATCCCGATTTGGCTACTTCCTATAACAACATCGCTTCGGTGTATGACAACATGGGTGACTACTCGAAAGCACTCTCACTTCTAGAGAAGGCGCTTGCTATTTTGCAAAAATCACTTCCACCAAACCACCCTAGTATTCAGAACGTCACATACGGGATTGACTATGTAAAAAAGAAAATGTAACTATAATTTTTTCTTTTCACTTGCTCAATAAATTTATTCACATTGCTATTCATTTCAATTTTTCTCGGCTCATTTTGGCTTACCCGCGCACGCGCGACAAGGGAGAGATCCCTTGTCAATGCCATAGGTACCACAGGCGGACCACGCCGGACTGGTAGGGCAATGACCGAAGGTATGCCGTATTAACACGGTAGGGACCAACGACACATAGAGGCCTTCCCTAGTGCTACACTGCTTCGCTATGGCACGAAAGTTCCTGTCCCTATTGAATCAGAAAACGTAGTTCTCTGACCCACACTAATAACATTCATGACTCAACTCATCTCATCTCAAAAGTACTCATACTCATAATACCTGACAATATTTATTTTTTCTCGAAATAAATTATCTCAACTCAACTCAACTCAGCATGTAAAAAAAAATTTTTTTCCTACCTCTCAATGTTGTATTGTATCGTAGCTCATCTAAAAAAAGTATTGTTAAATATAAAGACAAATAATTTACCTTATTTAAAATATAATGATATCATTATCATTCAGGCATCGTAGCAGACCCTTAAAATATAGGACTATATGTCTACGTAATATATGAATAAATTTCAAAACTCCATGTAAATACACGAAATTTTGGAATTTGTTCATATATTACGTAGACATACGGTCCTATATTTTAAGGGTCTGCTACGATGCCTGTTATCATTGTAAATAATATAATAATAATAAATAATGTACCCGGGTATATAATTACATTGTAATGCATCATATTGAGAAAACACGAATGTACTGTTTTATGATGATACATCCATGTTTTTATATACCCTATGGTTCATTGTTTAATATTCAACGGTTTTGATTGATTTTTCATCAATCACATCACACACGTGAATTGATGTTTCTTCGTGTGTTTTAATTGATTTGACGATCAATTTTGTGTAATGATATATGTATGTTTTTTTAATTTTTTTTTCTCATCTGACGGACATCAATATCATGTCGTCGTCGTCGTCGTACTCGAAAAAAAAATATTCGTCTTATGTGTATATGTAGAGTGTGAGTTGCAAAAAATATTAACATTCACTACCACACCCACACCCTTCATCACCATCTTCTGAAATAAAAATCTTCAAATATTTCTTCACAAGCAATATGAATTCGATCTACTCTGTTTCATAGTTTCTATTTAAGTAAAAAATTAATACTAAAAAAAAATATGTTGACACGAATGAAAGTGATTTTCAAGTTGCTGTACTCGATTCATTTGTTCAATTACTTTTAATTCACATTAATTGTAGTATACTAAACACTGATAAAATTTCTTGTATATCTGATCTATCGCTTATTTTTGAATAGAATTTCTTACGAAATTTCTTATTATATTGTCACAAAGCAAATAAACATGACTTGCAACGTATGATAAGAAGAAAAGAAAAAAAATATTTTCAAGAAAAATAAATTATTGTTTGAATTCTTTTTTTTAAAAGTTTTAGCAGTATTAGACTTAGTTGTATATGATATTATTGTTGATACTATTCAACATGAAGGTGATTAATAGAATTGTATTTCACGACAAATTGCCCATGGACTTCTTATTCATTTACAATTACATGTTACTATGGCATCATCAAAGGTTATTTTTCTTTCTTTGATAATCTTAGATTTCACTTTACTTTTTAGGATCAATCACTTTTGGATATTTATTCTACACAATTAACAAATTTTATTATTGTATCATTATTTGAATTACGATTAATTGATCCATTTATTGTTACATTTCGAGCATTAACAAACAGAAAAGTTCGTTTTTTTTTTACTCATGAAATTTTTCTAAAGTTTAAATTGTTTTTTAGAATATCAATCGTCCTTTCCGTTTAGTTTGGTCCATAATTGGATTTATCTTCTATGATAGTACCATTTATTTGAATTTAAAATTTCTATGGTTTTATAATATCTCTAATTTTATTTTAGCTAAACAATTCTAAATAATTTTCGTGAATTTTTAATTCATGATGAAACTATACATCATCTTGATACATTTTCATATTAATAATTTTCTTGGCTTTATAGATCGTACATTAGCTGGAAATGATTTACTTATTCAATCACTATAGACTATTAGGAATAATTTATTAAAACCAAATACATTATCATTAACATCGTTAAAATTCTTCGTACACTTATATATATTTGTATTACCGGTAGTCGAATCAATTGTTTGTCTTCATATTGAAAAGATGGTAGGACTTGAAGAACAATCATTAAATTCACAATTAGTACCTAAATATTTACCATTAATTTTACAAATATTATTAACAACGAAAAACAAATAATATACACCAAATATTGATGCACAAATGCTTCAAAATGTAACTTATAGAAGTATATGTAATGAGTATTTTGATCTAACAAAAGAAAAAGTTTACCTTTCTTTGACATTGTTGTGATAAGAAACAAAAAAGGCAGAATTTTACGTAGTACGAATCGTAAAGAAAAGTATTTAAGCTACATTAGTACAATAATGAAACTTATCGGTAAAATTCTGAATCGTCCTATCTGTACTGTTACAGCTAAAAAAAATACAATATCTTTTTAATTTCATGAAAAAGAAAATAATCATAAATAGTTTTAAAGACATCTCGTAAGATATTTTCTATTGTGTCATTTATATGGAATTCAAAATAGTGGTTTCAACTTTATGAAACATTCTTCAAAACAAATATTATCAATTGATGACTAAAGATACAACAGGAATATTGATCTCATATTCAGTTTGACATTTTCGATCGGAAGAGATCTTGAAACTAAGTTACTTTCTTGCAATAATGTCTATGCCCAAAATACAAATACAAATAACATGTTGAATTTATATATTAATTTTCAACAAAATGATACAAATGATTTATTTCGTATTATTATATTTATGTCGAAAATTATTTATATAAATGTATTTCGAAAAAGAATGAGTTCTTAGTTGAAATCGAAATGAAAGGGTTATTTCGAGGTTTGACAAAACAATACATAATCTAAACATCAATTATGTATAAATTACTTACGAGGCAAGATCCTCAACTGATCAATCGCTTTTGCATTGAGACAATGTGCAATATGTAGGTACAAAGAAACTATGAATATTTTGAAGAAAGTTCGGGCTGATAGCTTGTTCATACGAAGATATTGCATTTTTACGGTATGTTTTTTAATGAATGCTGTATTCCCTCTCAAGAGCATCAGAAAAAGTGATTTTCGAATTTCGACTTGAAACTTTATATAGAAACAGAACTCATCGAGAATAGTATTCTGCAAATATTTCAGATCTTTCGATTAGTTCCTCTCTTGAAAGACAAGCATCCAATCTTCAGGTTTATCCGAATGAAGTTATCATATCTGTAAGTATGAATAGCAACAGCAAACAAGTCTGAAGGGTGGGTGTGCGTGGGTATTCTATTGTCTAGCCACACCCACATCCTATTTTTTATGTATTTATGTAATATTAACCAATTTGATTTCGATGAGTTGATTAGTTTTTGTAGAAATATTTCTGATAAATAATTAAAATAGATTTAAATTGATAATCAACCTTTAAGATTTATTTAGTTAAAATAAAATAAAAATTTAATATTGCAATGTTTCAATCAAAATTAATTGAATTTTTGTGTCGAGATTGAGTTAAACTATATTCAACTATTTAGGATTTGCTTTTATCAATTACAATTATCCGAAAAAAATCTTATAAATTTTTACGACTGATAAAGTTGTAAACTAGAAACGAAACGTCACACCATTTTAAACAAAAATAAATAAAAAACCAACATTTAGTCAAATGAAAATTATTTAAATAATCAGAAAGATAGCCTATAAATGTCAACAAACATATTGTGAATGTACCATTCCAGAATGGTTTTTTCTCTGGATTCAGATGAAGAAATTTTTTCTTAAAGTTCTTAAGGGTTTTTCCCAAAATTTGGTTTCTCGGCAACAAATTGAAACAAATTCTATCCGGCTCTGAACAGAGCTAACTTTCATATTTAATTGCTTTGTTATGCTTATATTGAACAACATGTCCATTAAAATGTTTGTAATAATTCAATAGAAGAAAATTTCAAAGATTTCGTCCCATGAAAAATTGCACACAAAAGCTAGTTTTAGTTTGAAAGCAGTCCAAACTCTGTACTCTTTATAACGATGGAGTTCTTTCAATTTTCTTCGACAGTAGGAAAACAAGCCAGAAATTCGATCTAATTAGGCATATCATGCTGAGATTTTTGCGACAAGTCTTTTTCATTAGTACTGATTGTTCCTGAACATTTTGTTGAGAAATTAATGCTGAGAGGATCTTAATATATTATTATAAAACAAGTATAATATATAATCAGAATTCATTGTTATTATTAGCAAAACTTGACAATTATCATTTGAAATATTATTCAAATGTAGTAAAATTCATCAATTTTTTCTTCCTAGTTTCTTATAACTAAAACGTTTTGTTTACTGTTTATTAAGTCGGAAAAAAGTGAGAACTATTTATTTGGCTAATGATCTAATCTAACGTACTAACTGACCGATATGGAAACAAATTGAAAAACCTTCATAGAAACTAATAACAATTTAGAATATATTTCTTACTTAATATATGAATTTATCTTATGTTGAATTTGGTGTATCAAATTAATCAAGTAATAACTAGTCGTTGGTTTTTGTTTTGATAGTTTTTCGAATAATTAAATATTTTCTTTTTTCGACATTTTCATTTCATAAGTATTTAGTTTCATAATTCTATAATTCAATATATTAGCTATCGCATTTTAATAAAATCGTTTAAATTTCATGAATAATTAAATTAATTGAGAATTCTATTTAGATTTCTCATTATTTATTCATTTTAAATTGAAAACATCACTTTGAGATCTTTAAGCTACAGCTTTTAATATAGCATCAGATACAAAGGAAATGGGATAAATGTTGACTCTTATGACTCAGCAATAGGGAGTTGCTGAAAGAAAATCAATATTGGCAAGAAGATAGGAAACACTTTCATTATTCGAATCATATGTAAATTATTTTTGTTTTATATTCATAAACAAAGCAGTGTAACAACAAAATGAAGTCTCTTCAATAGAAATATTCTGAAAAGAGTATTTTTTCATCAGTGGATAAGAAACTTTCTCGTCAGTGCAATAGTATACAACTTGTATTTGTCAAAGAATCGTAAGGTAGATGAAACGAGAAATGAGAAAACATTAGTACAAGAAAATTTTGATCTCAAGTCAAAAAATCAAATGTAGGAGGAAATTAAATCGTACCAAAAGTCATATTCTCAAACTCTTATATCGAA